CTATTAACTTCTGTATCAGTTACAAAACAGTATTACTTACATTTCTTGTTATCTCATCTGTTATATTAGCAAACTTCTCATGACAAAAAAGTGACTTCCTTCCTTTTTCATGCCTATGCAATACTGCGACTAGGCCTTGTATCTTAACAAAAATGAACCATAGTAATTATAATTTCCACTTAAATGTCATGGCTATTATTGTAAAGTCATAATTAACTTATGGTTATGGAAGATCCTTCAAATGTTAATAAGAAGGTTTCAGAATATGCATGTTGTTTTTATGGCATTTGTGGCTAGTATATAAGTTATCAATAATGCATGAATTATTAAATCGCAAATGAATTTTTTATGATTATAATTACTTAATGTTTACTTTATCATTCCCATTCTTTTATACTTGGTGCAATATCTCTTTCACATCAGCCATGCTGAAATTGTTATCTTAAAAATTAGAATGGCATACGAAGAGGACAGTTATGTAAAATTATTGGGGATTTAGAAATAATGTCACACCCTGAATGGTTAAAATAGCTTTTAAGGTTACGTCTACTGTGTATAGAGAGTTAAACACCTGTGGTAATGTGGTGGAAACTGGATACCATGGTCAATTTTGTTTAGGATAGATTACATTCAAACATATTACAGGGTAGAGCAACACTGGGGCATTATATAACAAATTAAGCTTTAGTAACTGGTCTACAATGTATTCACTTTGACACTGCATGTCTGAATCTGATCTTTAAGAGCAACTATAGACAAACCCATAGCATATTAAATCATAGCATCAATGCCATGTGGCCCAACATTACGGCTGTGTTTCAAACCTAGTAAGCCGCCTACCTAGGCAGCATCACAGGCGGCCAAAACTGCAGCACGCGCGTAATATGCAGTAGTGATGGGAAGTTCGGTTCTTTTCCGCGAACCGGTTCTTTCGGACAGTTCGATTCAATAAACCGGTTGAAAAAACCGGTTCACCGGTTATTTTACGCTCGACGTAATGACGTAATTGGCGATGACGTAATGGCGTTAAATCGAACGATTCGTTCGCGAACCGGACATCACTAATATGCAGTCTAGATAGTCAGCTCACTAAGTTTTGAGACACTCCCGATGTAAACACAGTTATAACTTGTTTAAACACGGCTGATCTTGCATCTTCGAGGGAAACAACAAACTAGATGTTCGCGTAAACAGGCCCAACTGTTCTCTGTAGTGAGGAGTTGTAATGCGCTTGTGTTTTTACGCGTAAAGGCCCGTGTATACATCCAGCTTTTGTTTTGGCCGGCTGTTTTTCCCCACTTCAGCCTGTGGGCCTACCACCATTATCCGTCTCCTATAATCTTAGCTAACCAGTTTAATTTAGAAAAGCCACCGAAGCGTAGATCGCAACCTACTGTTGCTTCACGCATATAATAAAAACGAAACATTAAAGCACCGTTTGTTGCTCGTTAAGCTTGGAAGAATGGTTGTGTTTATACAATCCAACAAAAAGCAGACTTGACAGGAAACAAAATATAGCGACTTTAAAGAGACATAACGCTGGATTTGATGTTGCCTTTGGTCAACATACACTACCGAATGTGTTTTACAGACTGACAAGTGATTAGACGAGCTGAACTCGTATGTATGACTGCGGAAGCTTGGCCTCTTCTACCGCAACAACACTTCGAATCCTCCGTTATTTAAGCCGTTTAGGAGTAAAAACGCAAGATTATTTACATCGACATGTCAATCTGCAAATAAACAGTGGCTACTCGCCTCAAAGCGACTCCGAGAGACGCCGTTCACCTCCTTACCCATCCCGAACACTACAAAGTCGGTGAACCGGAGAGGAAAAGCGCGTCCGGTTATTAAAAGGTGGCAGATGTGTCGGTGCCGCTGGTTTCTGGCGAGCTCATGCCGTGTTTTCGCTTAATTTCATCGCGTGTGTGTATGGCGAAGATGCAGAAGAGCCCCAGTGGTTGAAGTATGAACGAATCAAGATTATCTCCTGTTGTGTTGCGGATCACCCCCTCCCCTTGAGCATGGCTAGATCTCAGACAGTTTCCCCATCTGTTAACTACACCTTATATTGTTCATAAATATTGCAGCTTTATCTGTCCATACACATTTGTCAGACTGAATGTGTAATGTGGTAGTAACCGCAGTAAAAGTATAAAGTCATTGTCTTTGGAAATTGTTCAACGGTCGAATTTAAGTCATTTATGATCAAATATTACATTTTTAGTTGTCATATTACCAAACTGGAAAAAATATATATATATTTTAAAAATGCGTGAGCTTCATTTCAGATTAATTCAATGTACTATTTATAGTTTTGCACAGAAAGTTTATTTGTTTGACGTGCTGAGGATATTAAAACATTTCTGTGGGTCAGTGTGTGCGAAGTACTTGTAAAAAGTGCCATATTTTGTCGCAATGTTGTATGGAAGGTGTACAGACTGCAAATCATTTGTTTTCATGTTATTGTTATGCTCGTTTCCGGGTTTGGCGAGTCAGCCCCGCCTCCGGCTGTCATAGCCAATAAAAACGCAAAGATGGTGTTCGTCATTTGACGTCATCGTGGCGGTAACACGAGGCAGCGTTTTCCCAAACAAACGAAACAAAGCACCACGATTGCACAAATCAAATTAATGTCATATCAGAGAAACTAAGTTAAGAAAATATTTATTACTATTATATTCACAATTATACATTTCCGCTCTTTACAATGTATTTATTTGCAGAACTGTGAAATGGAAAGCTCTAGTCAACTAAAATCTAGATATTATTTTAGACAAGAATGCCACAGAGAATGACCTCCTGATTGTATGCAACTTCGTGAAGGTCATTTAATGTAACCATCCTAAAGGCACCAATCTAAAATAGATCTGAACTTTGTTTAAAACCCTAATAATCATAAAATACTACCAGTAAAGACTTTAAAATGCATTATGTTTTAGAGAAAAAGGAATAATCAAAAAGTACTTTCATTATTATCAATATTTGTTCTTATATCAAAAAAAGAATACTCCTATTAATACAGAATTAATATTAAAATAACAAAAAATACTTACAATTATATGCCACAAAACTTTGAGCAAGTTTATCAAATCTACATTTGTGTAAAATTACCTATAGGCCTAATTAAAATACACAAAATATGCAAATAATTAACTCATGTGATGTAATGGGGAAACTATTCAGTTCATGATGACCTTTATAGAGTTTTATTTTAAAAACAAAGAAATAAAAAAACATGTAACATAACAGCACTGCATATGATAATTCTTTTGTATTGCCTTTTTTCTAAATAAAACAGAACTCAAAAACATTCATTAAGAACATCATATATATAATAAAAAAAACAGCTCAGACAATACAAACTACCATTACATCATATTAGCCCATATTATGGAAATACAAAATGCTCATCAGTAAAATCCAAACAAAATATTTGCGACTCTAGGATCCAGATAATTATAAAAATGGCTCCCATGTTTAATGAAAAAAAAGTCTGTCTTAGAGTGGATTAGGCATGTGAGGTATTCCAGTGGAATCAGTTCCATCAACACTTTTTGCCAACCTTTCACAGAAGGAGGTTTGTCAATAATCCAATGCAAAAGAATGTTTTTCCGTGCTGCAAAAGTCATAATATTGTAAAGTCTTCTATTAGCCACAGAAGTTAAATTATCACTAGGCAAGCCCAATAACAGTGACAAGGGGTCAAGTTCCAGATTTATACATAGAATCTTTTGCATTTCATGAAGTATGTAATCCAATAATTCTGTACCAAACGACATGACCATAAACAGTGAGTCAATGTGCCAACTTCAGTCTTGCATTTAATGCAAAAAGGGTTAAAGGAATTATTAAAAGCATGTCTACGATTGGGGGATATATGTAATCTATGTAAAGCATATCATAATTCTCAAGAAACTTGTTGTTCTCCTTGTTATCAATGAGTTTAAAAGATTTAACTATAAGGGTCATCTCAGTAAGAAAGACATCAAATCTAGGCAAAGTCTTGAGAAATTATTTTTTGTGAATAAAAAAATTGACATCAAATCTAGGCAAAGTCTTGAGAAATTATTTTTTGTGAATAAAAAAATTGACATCAAATCTAGGCAAAGTCTTGAGAAATTATTTTTTGTGAATAAAAAAATTGACATCAAATCTAGGCAAAGTCTTGAGAAATTATTTTTTGTGAATAAAAAAATTGACAATGTAAAACAAAGAAATTAACAACAAGGCCAATAATCACTGCAGGGAAAGTAAAGAAATCTTCTAAAGTGGAAAATCTTCCACTTAGGACGAGCTGCTCTGCTAGAGACGTGGAAACACGTTCTGACGTCATCTATGCGCGACGTCAACCTACCGAGCTCTTTGGAAAATACACGGATATCGGCAGCAAGTCAACTAAAATTCATATATAAAACCCGGCATACGCTCGCCGCTGGCGAATGCTTACGAAGGTGAAATTATACTGTATTAAATTTAGCTATTGCTCAATGCTAAGTTAACCATAGTTTTTGCATAATTAATTTATTAAACAACGGATGATGTAAATAATGTAGAACTTTAGTTGTTCGGCCCATCAATATATTGTTGTTATAATTTAAAGGACGAATTAAAAATATCTGTATTCGTACGCGATGAGAGTAAAATGGGCATAAACATTTAAAGTGTTCTTGCTTATAGCTAATATGACAGGTTTGTTCAGAAATTATGTAATTAACGTTTAACACGCGAAGAGTCTGTAAATCTACATCTGCCTCAATAAAATAATAAAGTCGGTAATTAATTCGTGTATTGTCTTATATATCATTAAAGTTAAATTATCATTACATAACTGAATAACGTAATAATGCACATTTAAACCAAAATAATTTTGCAAGTTAAGTTCAGCTCAAGTGACGCGCGATTGAAGGCGGGATGTAGTTGCTTGCTTCTGATTGGCTGTCGCTTAGTTACCATGGAGATTGACAGCGATCTTGTTCCCCAGAAACAACGTAAACAAGCGAGTTTATAACTTTATATGTTTCCAGTTTTGTTTTCATACAAAATATTAGAGTATTTATTTGAAAATCCGCTATCAAGGAGGAAACCGGCGACTTAATTCTATACTAAATGGTGTGGGCTGTGGTATTTCCTTTTCCGTGGGACGGGCTAAAACCGCGCATGCGCAGAAGAGGCTGCGCATAATTTCGGCTGTAATGGTGAAGTGAATTCTCTCTGAATTAAGGGCTGTGGAGGGTTTTATATCCACGAACATCGCCCAATTTCTAGGTCTGGTTTCTTCCCAGAGCCGCTTATGTGAACTGGAATCAATTTTAACACATAAATATGTGATCATTTCCGATGAATATGAAACTACAGAGAGTTTACACTCAACATTAAAGCGAATATGTGAACAAGAAGCAAGCGGGTCAAGTTTTATTTTCAGTTATGTGGGACAATATCCCTACACAGCGAGCTTTACTGCTTCAAAGCTCGGAAACCGTGTGCAAGGAGAGCTAAACATCTGTTTAGGCTTTGATATCGAACAAGGATAAACAATCTAAAACAACGACAGCCTGTATTTTTCTTTTCTTTTTGTCTTTTCGAGGGACGCTAGCTTAGCTAAAGCTAGCCGAGAGGCGCGAGCGCAATGAGCTGCTTGAGGCATCCTGGAAACGACCAGTGATGCCATCCTGAAGGACATATCGTTAAAAAACCTTTTTGTTATTGGGTTTATATACTCTTGGATATATTTCAACGCGATTCAGAGAAGCCACGGGACCGGGAATGACTTGTGGATAACCTATGCGCATTAAATCGAGTGCGCATCTTTGTTTCGCTTCACTCCGACTCTTCCGTCTGGCAAGATTTCACACTTTTACCCAACACTGAGCGATTTCTGCTGTTCATGTGCTGTCTTGACCACTTAGGTCCGCGTCTCCGGAGGACAGAGGTATGCCTGGATCAGACCGCCTGCATGGGACCAAGAGGAAGGCTGAATCGCTCTACCATCAGCAGCTGCAGGCGGCCGGCGGCGGGGAAGGTCAGCCTTTGCACGCGGGCTCCGGTAGGCATCCCACCAAGACGACGAGCTCGTCCACTTCTTCCAAGCACAAACGAAACAAGTCCAAACACGAGGCCGAAACCGGCTCCGTGTGCGTTGCCGCTGCGCCTCCAGCAGTGGGCGCCATCAAGCCTCTGGTGGAGTACGACGACATCAGCTCCGACTCGGACACGTTCCTTGACTCCCCCGCCACCGGGACAACGGCGGAGGGCAGGGACGCCGAACGCCTAGAGCGGTCGGACTACGGTGAGGCAGGGGCGGGGGTCGCGAAAGAGAACAGGACTCATAAACACAAGCGCTCCCGGAAGAAGTCCAAAGACCCCCAACGGGCCAGGGAGTCTGCGGAGGGGGCAGAAAGTGGCGGCGGCAAGAAGAGCAGTAAGGACCGGGACAGAGCGTGTAAAGAGAGCCGGAAGAAGGCTAAGGAGAAGACTAGCTCAGCTGCGTGCCTGCTTTCTACATCAATACGCTCAGGTGAGTCAGGAAGCAAAAGGTCCGGCGACTCTCTGTCATCAGGTGCGGTGCAGTCCGCTGTCAGTCTAGGCAGTAGCGCCTCCTCCGCCTCCGCCTCCTCCTCCATCAGTAAGGAAAGTGGCCGCTCATCAAAATCTCGCAAAGACAAGCGGAGGAGCGAGGAGTATGAGGAGGACCGGAGCCATCGGAAGCCCGCCAAAAGCCAGAAGTCGAGCCCTAAAGGGAAGGATCAGTCCAGGAAAAGCGAAGCGGACAGTCCTTCCACTGCGGAACTCGAGAACAGCTACTCCTCCAAGCGCAAAGTTGCGAGCCCGAGTCCGTACCGGGAGCCTCCCAGGCGGAGCAGACAAAGGTCCGAGAGCCCCTATCGGAGGAGGAGGTCTTCAAGCCCCGAGAAGGATGGAAGTCCGTATGAGAGCAGAAAACACTCACCTGGCAGTCCTTACGGCAACCGACGCTCATCCAGCACCAGTCCAGTGTCCAGGTGAGCGAGCACACAAACACACAGATCTGACAGTCCATGTGCTTCAGTCTCTCCAGAGGTTTTTGGACACGTAGGAATATTATTGCATTGTAAATGTCAAACCCAGTGATGCTTATTTTATAAGATAGGATGAATTTGCATACTTGATTTCATGTTACTCTTAAATGTAATTTTTAAAATTAGGTTTAGCATCATTTTTTTGCCAAAACTACAAAAGCAATTAAATAAATCCACTTTAAATGGGACCTCGGTGTCCAGATTATAAAAGTATATAGTAACATTGTGCACATCATATAAGTAGTAATAGGCTGACAGGTAAGTTAACACTAACTGTTTACGGTGTTTACATTGTGCTGAATGATTTTAATTTCTTTTTTTTTTCTTTAAAGTTGTGTTTTATTTTTGGAGTTTTTATTTTATATTTTTTATTTATTTTAATAAATAATTGACCAGTGTTTTCAAAGGGTTGTATTTTAGTTAGTTTTAATTTAATGATTATCTATGTTAGGTGGAAATCATACTGTCCATCAGTGTTTATTATACAAATTATCATTTTAAGCATTACACAAATTTCTATGCTTTATTGAAATGACTTGTTTTTGTCATAACATAACAATTTAATATTTATTGTAGAAGATTAATGTATTTTACTTGTGTAAAAAAAAAAAAAACCGTTTGGACCTGTATAACAGCATACTAATAATGTATAGATAATACCTTAAACTGCAGTATTCATAAGCTATCAGCACAAATCATTTAGTAAGTTACAGTTTATAGCAGCAGATCATGTTATTACTGTGTTATCTGTTAAAAGTAGAGGGGTTTTATATTTATAGTAGGGCTGCACGATAAATCGCATGCGATATTTAACGCGCATCTTATCGGTAAAGCCGGTTCTGTAATCAGCGGTAAATCTCCATCACCTGCGTGCTTTCACATGGAGCAGCATTAATGTGAAAGCCCACAGGTGATGGAGATTTACCGCTGATTACAGAACCGGCTTTACTGACTAGATGCGCGTTAAATATCGCATGCGATTTATCGTGCAGCCCTAATTTATAGCATGATATTCAGTTCCAATGGATTTTAGTTGGACAAATGTATGTATGAAAACTCCGTGCACCAGACAGTCAGCTTTATGGCATTTAAAGTTTCATATTTGCTTATGAAAAAAATGCTGTTGCTCATCACTACAACTAAGATTTTGCACTAACATTTACATGCCATAGCCTAATTCCTGTATTAAAGGTCTATATTTAGTTGGGTTACCCCTCGAATTAATTTACTGATTACCAGCACACACCTTCTACTGTCAGATCAGATTCTGTGCATTGTGTGCACTATGGAAAATATAAGATTTTAATTTTAAGTATTGAAAGAAAAGCGGTTTTTGATGTAAAGGCATTTGACTGCCCACATATGAACAACCCCAGCTTGTTTAGATACTCAAAAATGTGGTGCTTGCCTGCAGTTGAAAGTAAACAGCGAGCACATAATGCATAAATTAACCCAGCGATAACGCCATCTGGAAAACCAGAAGTCACAGCTAATTTTATTAACCAGAAGCTGTTGTGGTGCATGTAGTGTTTCTTTGATCAAAAGGTGTATTGTTTACTGCGGATGTGCAAGATGCATTTGTCTGAACAGCAAGTCAATTAATATTAAAGTTGGCATGAAATGAAAATTCACCCCATCTGTTTTCTAAATGCATGTTTTAGATAACTTTTTTTTTCTTCTTCTTTCTGTTGACATATGCAGGTGATGTGTCTCCAATCATTTAGACTCTTTGAGGATGCAAAATTACTTTGGACACTCATATGGTCGTGATATGATCTCACACTCTGCAGCATCTTTTTTTTTAAACATAAATTAAACACATAACAGAAAATAATAAATCTAAAATGTAGAAACAATCTACTCCACTTTTCTGCAACACTGCAGTCTTAAATTTGTTCTTTTAATTCAGTTACGAGGTCACGCTGTGATGTATCAGTCTTCTATTTATCACACGGCTTCACATGATACAAATTCGCAGGTTAGAGCTCACCAAACTTGAACTTCGGAACACAGCGAAATGTGAAACTTCTTCACAAGAGCTTGCGTTTCTGCTCTCCCACAATCGAACGAAAAGTGTAGCGTGAACATAACTTACAACACCGCTGTTGCAAGGTCATGTTCATCGGCTTCCATTTTTGAGTGCAACACGAACATCTCAAATCTAATCAACAACCGATGCATAAAACTATGTCCCGCTCTACATTTTTTTCTTTTTTGATAATCCTTTACACTCAAATGTATGTCACAATACAAAAGAAAAGATCTGGCGCTACTTCAGTTTCATTGTGACTTTAAGGAAACCCCGTGTAATTAGATTGATGCTTTAAATGGGATGTTTACATTTATTTAGTTGTTTTGAGCAGGTTGACATGACTGATTTGAAAACATTTCTGTTTTTTTCTCCTCCTCAGGCCTTCTCTTCGTTCTCGGAGCCGTTCTCCTCACTACTCCTCTCGCCGCTCCTCTTCCCGTTCTCGCACTAAGAAACATTCTTTGTATTCTGGAGGAGCCAGCAGAGGCTCCTCCCACAGCAGTCGACCAGGCAGCCGCTCCCCTTCGTCTTCACGTTTGCCGATCACCTCCAGCCTGGGGGCCGAGCTGACGCGAAGAAAGAAGGAACGTCAGGCGGCGGCCGCCAAAAACTCCCCCTCCCTCCAACCCAACACGTCCAACGTCTCAAATGCGCCGGTGAAAAACACTGAGGCGCCACCACTAGAGACGGCCCCGCCCCCAGAGCCTCAAAGACCGCCATCTCCACCTCCGAATACTGTTGCGGCGGAGGAGCCCACTGTGGTTCCTCCGCCACCTCTCACATTATCCAGTCCACCTCCGCTGCCTCTCTCATCTCCTCCGCCTCTCCCGGCGAACTCTCCTCCTCCTCTTCCTCTCTCATCCCCCCCACCTCTTCCTCTAAACAGCCCTCCACCTGCTCCTCCACCCTCAGCAACTGCTACGCCTGCTTCTTCTCACACGAAAAGCCCCAAACAGAAACATACGCAAAGTCCCGCACACCTGATTAGGACCTCCACACTTCCACCTCTTCCCCTGCCGCCGGTTCTTCTGGGAGACTGCAGAGACTGCAGAGACCTGATCAGACACACTTTATAGGGAAATACTTAAACATTCTTTACACAAGTACGCGACACACGCGACACAATTTGGCTAATGTATTGCAAATGCACAGTCTGCTCTTGCATTTCTCTGGTGGTCGAGGGTGATAGATTTGATAAAGTTTGTCAATTAACTGGATGTCATCATTTGGATAGCTAGCTGTAAAGAACTTCTAAAGTTGACATTAAATGACGTCACCATATCTATTTTCTGAATGCATTTTTTAAGATCCTATTCTGATTGATTTATCTGTGCATGCGTTCCATTTTGAAAATTTGTTTTGACTTTGTAATGTTTAGTCAAAATTAGAGCCCGACCGATATGGTTTTTTTGGGACCGATATTAGGGAGTAAAAAAAAAGGCCGATATCGATATATCGGCCGATATTCTTTGTGTATATTATAGTACAAGACTCTTTGAGGATGCAAAATTACTTTGGACACTCATATGGTCGTGATATGATCTCACACTCTGCAGCATCTTTTTTTTTAAACATAAATTAAACACATAACAGAAAATAATAAATCTAAAATGTAGAAACAATCTACTCCACTTTTCTGCAACACTGCAGTCTTAAATTTGTTCTTTTAATTCAGTTACGAGGTCACGCTGTGATGTATCAGTCTTCTATTTATCACACGGCTTCACATGATACAAATTCGCAGGTTAGAGCTCACCAAACTTGAACTTCGGAACACAGCGAAATGTGAAACTTCTTCACAAGAGCTTGCGTTTCTGCTCTCCCACAATCGAACGAAAAGTGTAGCGTGAACATAACTTACAACACCGCTGTTGCAAGGTCATGTTCATCGGCTTCCATTTTTGAGTGCAACACGAACATCTCAAATCTAATCAACAACCGATGCATAAAACTATGTCCCGCTCTACATTTTTTTCTTTTTTGATAATCCTTTACACTCAAATGTATGTCACAATACAAAAGAAAAGATCTGGCGCTACTTCAGTTTCATTGTGACTTTAAGGAAACCCCGTGTAATTAGATTGATGCTTTAAATGGGATGTTTACATTTATTTAGTTGTTTTGAGCAGGTTGACATGACTGATTTGAAAACATTTCTGTTTTTTTCTCCTCCTCAGGCCTTCTCTTCGTTCTCGGAGCCGTTCTCCTCACTACTCCTCTCGCCGCTCCTCTTCCCGTTCTCGCACTAAGAAACATTCTTTGTATTCTGGAGGAGCCAGCAGAGGCTCCTCCCACAGCAGTCGACCAGGCAGCCGCTCCCCTTCGTCTTCACGTTTGCCGATCACCTCCAGCCTGGGGGCCGAGCTGACGCGAAGAAAGAAGGAACGTCAGGCGGCGGCCGCCAAAAACTCCCCCTCCCTCCAACCCAACACGTCCAACGTCTCAAATGCGCCGGTGAAAAACACTGAGGCGCCACCACTAGAGACGGCCCCGCCCCCAGAGCCTCAAAGACCGCCATCTCCCCCTCCGAATACTGTTGCGGCGGAGGAGCCCACTGTGGTTCCTCCGCCACCTCTCACATTATCCAGTCCACCTCCGCTGCCTCTCTCATCTCCTCCGCCTCTCCCGGCGAACTCTCCTCCTCCTCTTCCTCTCTCATCCCCCCCACCTCTTCCTCTAAACAGCCCTCCACCTGCTCCTCCACCCTCAGCAACTGCTACGCCTGCTTCTTCTCACACGAAAAGCCCCAAACAGAAACATACGCAAAGTCCCGCACACCTGATTAGGACCTCCACACTTCCACCTCTTCCCCTGCCGCCGGTTCTTCTGGGAGACTGCAGAGACAGGTGAGTCCTGATCAGACACACTTTATAGGGAAATACTTAAACATTCTTTACACAAGTACGCGACACAGACTCAAATATTTGGCTAATGTATTGCAAATGCACAGTCTGCTCTTGCATTTCTCTGGTGGTCGAGGGTGATAGATTTGATAAAGTTTGTCAATTAACTGGATGTCATCATTTGGATAGCTAGCTGTAAAGAACTTCTAAAGTTGACATTAAATGACGTCACCATATCTATTTTCTGAATGCATTTTTTAAGATCCTATTCTGATTGATTTATCTGTGCATGCGTTCCATTTTGAAAATTTGTTTTGACTTTGTAATGTTTAGTCAAAATTAGAGCCCGACCGATATGGTTTTTTTGGGACCGATATTAGGGAGTAAAAAAAAAGGCCGATATCGATATATCGGCCGATATTCTTTGTGTATATTATAGTTCAGTACCAGTCTTCGGTCTTTTCGCTTATTCGGTTCGGTTGCCGAACATTCAGTGCATCCCTAAATATAAATTCACGTCTCACGCACTTTAATGCCCTTTGATTGTAACGTGTACGTTCCCTTGGAACTGGAATCATGGCGGAATATCACGTGAAGTCCACTTCGCAGGGCACTTGCGGTCGAATAAGACCATGCTTGAATGCTGCTGCCTGAACAAGAGACCTCCTTATTGAAGTGAAAGTGTTGACTGGTGTCACTATCTCGCAAACGCGCCGGCTGATCTCCACCAAATTCAGGGGATCCCTTCAGCTTGAGGAGCCCTCTCAAACGCCATCCTCCGCACGTCGGTAGCCCCCCCGGGATCGCTTGATCATTCGGCGCCGGACCGCGAATTTAACCACCCGTAACTCCCGAACCCCGGGGGCTATCGACGCGGGGGGGGTCTCATTCGAAAGCGGGCCTCTAGACGTACACTCGATTCGTGTTCGAGAGGGTTCCTCGAGCTGAAGGGATCCCATCGGCAAAACGATATATCGGTCGGGCTCTAGTCAATGTCTTAACTCAGTCTTCTGTTGAAATGATAGACTTCTTTTTAGTTATGTATGCCAGACTTCTCCAGTCATTTAGTGTGCTTAAACTCGTATTTAACTCTCATTTTGGGTTATTATCATTATTGACTAATACGAAAACTTTTAAAAACATACTTGTAAGAAAATTTTAATGCATAAATAACTTGTAATACATTGGTAACTAAGTGAAATAAGTTAAAGCACTAAAATGTACAGAAAATAAAAACTAGAACTGAAACAATAAGTTGAATAGTAGAATTTAAAAATGAATAAATAAAGATTTTTATAAAATTAATAAAAACATTTCATAAAAATAAAAAAACATAAAACAATTATTCAAAATAACTAATATTCAGAATTAAAAATATAAATAAAAGCTAAAATTCAGCTAGAATTTTATAATAAATACAACATATTAAAATTATGGTAGTATATAAAAAATACTAAAATAACTGATATAGAAGTAAAGCATTTCAGCACAACTTTAATCAGTTTGCTCATTCTCTACAAATTGACCTTAAAAAAAGAGTTTATGCTAAAGTCCCTTGTGGAAGCACTGATTATGCAACTCTACTTGTGTTGCACTTTGTTTTTTGATATGGTTCGAAATGCAATAATGCAGGAAATCAAGCTTAGCTTAGCATGGCTTGATGCTTTTGCGTTCACATACTTGCATTCGGTAAGTTTTGGGCCTGAGACCTTGTTTTGGTCTCACATCAGGTGCTATTTTGCCATGCTCTTCAGGTTTAATGTCACAGAATATTAATAGTCATAATTATTTTTCAGTGGTGTAAACATATTTTATCATTCATTTTATAAAACTTTTTTCTGTGTTTTACTTTGTGTTAAAGTTATGTTTAAATTTAATGTGCTTCTGATATTTGGTTATCTAATGCAACAACAATCATATATTTTAAACATTGTATAGTAGGGCTGTCGCGGTGAGGGAATTTCCCTTGCGGTAATTTTGAGTGGCTCCATACCGCGGTATGCGGTATTATCGCCATATATATATATATATATATATATATATATATATAATCATAATCTGTGTGTTTATGTGTTACGATATAACTAACGAGGTCATATTCAGAAGACAATGAAACCGAAACCAAATAGCGTTGAAACAGGAAGTGAAGTAAACAGAAGAGAATGACAAAATAACGGTCCACATAACAGAACATAAATAGATGCATGTGGGCATGTTTGGGCTGTAGGGAGTGTAAGCTGAGAACAGGCTGTTATTTCCTCACGGTGTCTGGTTGCACTAAATGCAAATAGCTTTGTTGACAAAAGCTGTTGTCATTAACTACACCCAACATTACGCAGACTATTCACTGTTAGTGTGCATAGCTTATTTCTTCTGTTTACATTTTGTGTGAATTCCATGTAACAGCATTTGCTTTTTTTTTTTACTAGAAGCTATTTATCGCTAGTTATGCCTGTAAATAGCATTGTATGCACCGTTATTTATACTTACTATAAATAGCAACTACTTGGTGTTACTTTCTTTTAGTGTAAATATTCACTGCTCTAATTTCCCTGCCAAAAACCTTACATGATGGAATGTGTAACTAAATAGCCAGAACATGTGAGTAGTGCTTATCTGTGCAGAATGCACCACCATGAATTTGGCTTTTCCACAATTTCCCATGTTTCTATATATTGGCGTCTAGATTTGTTCAAATCCCTAACACTTGTATTAGTTATAAATACAGTTTTATATAATATGAATGTCTGTTGCATGACATGTTGCAGTCTAAGAGACCCAATTCTGGTCACAAGTCGAGGCAAAATGTGTAGTTACTGTGTTTTAGAGAAATAAAGAAACATCCAGTTCACTTGTTGAAAAAAAATTCTGACATTTACTGCGTAGGGTTATTCCACGTTTTATTCCACATTCACCTCTTACTTTCTCAGTTATTTTTAGCTAGAGTTGTGAGGCAAAAAAAAAGGCACGGTAGGTGATTTGGTTCAAAAAAATTTTTTGTTATGCTGGTTGAAATTCTTTTCACATCCCGATAGCAATCAATAAGTTATGTGGTCTAAATTTATTTATATGTATTTGTATCATCTGAGTAAGGCGTAGAACCATAAAATGTTCATCCAATCATATCCCTTGGTCCGAGGACCATGATAGGCTGTCCTACCTGCCTGTCAACGTATGTATTTGCATACCTCTGTGCACCCTGTTTGCACAGACATGATACATCATCAGCGAGAATGGAAGGCATTATTATTGTAATATTATGCGCTTTGTACTGTAATGTTTTCTCACCGGTGAATGAGACATGAGGTAATCTGACAGCGTTGCATTCCCTCCACCAAGGCGTAAATATATTTTAATCATGACAACTCTCTGAAGATTTTAGCATGGTGATGGATATGACAATGTTAATGTATTTGGTCTTGGCGGAATAGATCTGCTACGCTGCTGCTGAACAGGGAAAAGGAAAAAGAAATCAGGACACGCCTTCTCAGTGAGTTGCCCCTCCCTCCAGTTCTCCATGGAGGAGACCCCTCCCCTCCACAGTCCCCTGCTCGAGAATCCCCACTGCTTCTGCAACCAACCTTCAAGAAGAGACCAAAGTAAGTGCCACTGCGGTCATCAATCAGGGCAATTCTCAAGATGATTGTGTGACATTAATAGTGTTCATTTAGTTAACCAAAAGTGTGACAAAATGTTCATTGACAAGCTTTTTTCCCATGACTAAGATTAGACGACAATACGGTCAATAAACGAAAACTGTGACTATATCAACATGCAATATCATTGACGATAAGAGACAAAACTAAAATGTATTTTTAAAAAATAAGAACTATACCAAAATTTCTTTTAATTTTCGTCAAAAAAAAAACTAACTACACAGAATATTATTGCGGACTGCTGTATATGCCGCTACTACACGAGCTTTCATGTGTGCGCTTGGCAGATATCAGGAGTTCAAATCCACCAATCAGAGCTTCTCTGTTAAAAGCATAAATTTTCTGCACGGAGTTTTGCTTTTTTTTGCAATCTGGCAACCATTATACATGCACTTGTTCTTTCTTTATTGCGGAAGCGTCAATGATGATCTGAAAACACAGACAAACAAGTAAGCTGAAGTTAAGCGCTCTCCATGTGAGATGTTCAGCTTAAATGAAAGTGTCATTCAGCCAGTCTGTGTTCTGTCATGAGATCTCGACTATTTTGTTTGTGATTGCGATCGCTGAATAAATGCACTTACTCAACCGCTGTTGTTTTATTAGAGAAACATTATTGCAATTTGGAATTATTGGAATTACTGTTAAGAATTTTACTGTTGAAGTTTTTTTTTGTTTGTTTTTGCCAGTTTTCATAAGGGAGAAAGAGAGAGTGCATTGATATTTTGATATTAGTCAAATATCAATTAGATTGAGTCTTTGATATTTATTAATTTATATATTAAATAGACTATAATAAATCAGTACACTAGATGAGGTAAAATAAACCATGTGTATGAATCCACATTCTATTGGTTTGTGCTTATTGGTGAAAGTGCAATACCTGAAATATAAAAATAAATTTCTCAAATGATAATCTTTTCGATTATAATTGAGCAAAAACCTTTTTTTTTTAGCAGCTTAACTATTATACAGCATGATGAAAATGTGACAGTTTTCATTGACTAAAACTAGACTAAAATGCTCAGACATTTAGTCGACTAAAATTTGACTAAACAAAAACAGGACAAGCTTGACTAAATATGATAATAACTAAAAAGTACATTTGACACCATGACTAAAACTAATTTTAAAGACTAAGACTAAATTAAAAATGGCTGACAAAATTAGCACTAGATAATAACATTCTGCTACACTAATGTTCAACAGTTTGGGGTTGGAAGGATTTTGTTTTTGAAAGAAGTCTCTTATGCTCACCAAGACTGCATTTATTTGATCAAAAATACAGTAAAAACAATAATATTTAAAAATATTATTGCAATTTAAAGTAACCTCTTTCTATTTGAAAATGTTTTAAAATGTACAGGGTTTCTGAGGGTCTTAAAAAGTCTTAATTAGCCCTTCCACAGATTAAGGCCTTAAAAAGGTTTTAAATCAAAGCAGAACGTCTTAAATTCATAAAGTCACGGCATTAAATGTTTCATGCATTGTTAAAAATTAATATTGTCCTCAGTATTTTTGTTTGTTGTCCAGTTCTTAAATCAAGATATATTTACTTGTGCAGGAAAATAAAGATAATAAAGAATTCTTGTTTTCTGAGAAACCAAGCAAAATTAAGTGAGTTTATCCTTAAAACAAGAACAGATCTGCCAGTTGAATTTAGTAGATTTTTCTGACTCCATTTGCAGATATTTTTCTTTTTTACCCTAAACTCACTTCATTTTGATAAATTTCTCATAAAATAAGACTTATTTAATTTAGCATCTCCAGTAAATTTGACATTTGCACTGGAAAACAAGACAAAAATACTAAGGAAGAGCATTATTTTTTGGCAGTGTGATCAGAAGGTACAGTAAAGGTTATTTCCATTTTCTAGTGGTTGTGAGCAGAGCAGTTCAAGCCTAAAGCTTTTTTTTATTTTTTAGATTGTATTTTAAAACATTGAAGTGTTGCTAATAGAACGCATTGTGCATTTAGAGAACATACTTTTGATCAAATTAATGTGTCCTTTGCTGAATAAAAGTATTAATGTCTCTTTTGAACCCAAACTTTTGAATGGCAATGTATGTTTTTTTTTATTATTGGTAAGGGTTGAGAGAAATCCTTAACACAGTTATTACTTTAGTCATGGGATGCTCGAATGCTTCATTAGGTTTTGAAAATTGGCAGAATGAGAGAAAGTGACTTGGAAAAATTGCAAAGTTTTTTTCTCAAGTGTCTGTCAAATGTGTGCAGGATTTGCTGTCCTAGATATGGAGAGAGGAAGCAGACTCAAATTGACTGGGGCAAGCGCTGTGTGGATAAGTTTGACATCATCGGCATCATTGGAGAAGGAACCTACGGTCAGGTGTACAAAGCAAAGGACAAAGACACAGGTGTGTTGTTTAAAGGGGATGAATACGAGGGTGTGGAAATGTTATAATCCACTCCAAAATGTTTGTTTGTTCCTTAAAATAGAAATCATTTTGTAACATTGTAAATGTCTTTACTTTTACTTTTGGTCAATTAAATGCATCCTTGCTGAATAAAAGTGTTAATTTCTTTCAAAAGAATAATTCTTACCCCAAACATTTGAACGGTAGTTTGTTTGCATTGCTTTAAATGCAGAATGATGTGCTCTTAAAGGGGTCATATGATGCTATTTTAAAGATCATTATTTTGTGTATTTGGTGTAACAATATGTTGACATGCTTTAATGTTCAAAAAACACATTATTTTTCAAATACTGTACATTATTGTAGGTCCTCTATGCCCCGCCTCTCTCAAACGCGTCGTTTTCTACGTTGAAATTAATACATGGAAGAAAAAATGTGTGAATATTCCTTTAAAAAAAAAAAAAATTATATAATAATTGTATTATTTTTTCTACAATTAAGTGATTAATCTGGTTGTAATATTTATTTTTATCATTTAATTGTTTTATTCAAATTTGATAGAAAATTGAATATTTAAAGATGTACGTTATACTGTACAAATGTAATACAAGAGTAATATATTTCTGTTACATGTTAAACTGCACTTTTATTTTGACAGGTTGCCATGAAGTTTCTGTGTGTATACAGTATGATGATGCTAGTTTTCTCAAATGAAATGGTAAAATTCTCACGAAGTGACTCTCACAGCAGCTCTGGAGATTAAGTTTTTGTGTTCATGTCGTCATATAGTGAGACGCAGAGGCCGAAAATCACAGCGAGTGTCACGCGTGCTTCAGTATTTGTGTAGTAAAAAAAAAACGTGTTTCAGCCATTCATACATACAGAGGCAAGCTTAACATGCAGGATTCATATTTAAACCGTCTTTTTGCATTTTAATATTCACTGACACTAGTTCATATCGCAATTCGAATTAAGTGGCAGTGGCTACTTTTTGATTTATTCGTCAATTCCGTGGCATTCCGTGCTATAGAGTAAATTACGTTTTTATGAATGGACTTCACTGACACTAGTTCATATCGCAATTCGAATTAAGTGGCAGTGGCTACTTTTTGATTTATTCGTCAATTCCGTGGCATTCCGTGCTATAGAGTAAATTACGTTTTTATGAATGGACTCCACGATCCCGTCCTCGTTTTCGCAAAAACCATATGGCCCTAGAAATGTAACCACACTTCAGAACATTTCAGCTTGCCCTGTGTGTTTGTTTGAACGAGTTGCAGGGGTGACATCACGTCACTGTGTCTCTCTTTCTCTCTCTGTAGCGTATGCGCCCAGATGCGTTCTCAGGTACCGAAATTTGGCACCGATTGATTTAACGTGAATCGGTACTCGGTAGTACCGACGCAATACGGTCGGTACCCTTAAAAGTACCGAGTTCGGTACCCAACCCTACACATGACGCGGTACTCTACACGGCGCAAAACTCTGCATTTGAACAGTCAATAGCAAATACTTAATCTATTAAGAAAACATACTTACCAGTAGCTGATTCAGAATAAGTGCCAGACTGTCATAGCAAAGTCAAAATTGACCCTTTTTTTTTTAAATAGCCTTTGCACAGCCAGCCTTGTAGACTACTCTCCTAGGTTCACATAAAATGCGTTGCACAAATTCGAACATCTGGGTTGTGCTGCTCTGTTTTAAATAAATCTTAACCAATGATTCCTCTTTGCATCTACTTCCGGAAGGCCAAATAAAGTGCTTTTGCTTTCGCACTGAAATACACAGCGTCTCCCTGACATGGCTGCATCAACACTACTGCGGTTCCTGAAACCACGCCTTCTTTCTTTGCGTGCACATTTGGGTGGCATTATGCAAATATTTCCACATCGTGAGGTAGAGATGTGGGGGCGTGTTTGAATGAGGCGTTTTAGCCCGGTCTGGATCAGCCTTCTCTTTCAGATAGAATAAGTCCTTTTGTGGGAGACTTTGAGCTTTGTAACTGCAGATCTTATACATGCACAAATAGCTGCATAACACACTAAAGAAAAGGAAAAATAGAAATCGCATCATATGACCACTTTAATTAGAAAAGCTGTGCTTACCTTATCATTCTCAGTAATCACACCATTATTTTTGCCAATGCAAAAACCCAACTCTGTGGGGCTACTTTTAACACTTAAATCAATGTGTTTTCAGTCATGTTTTTGAGAAGAGAAGACGTGTTGACAGCATTTTGTTGTTTTTTTGTTTCTAAAGGAGAGCTGGTGGCATTGAAGAAGGTGAGATTGGATAACGAAAAGGAGGGTTTCCCCATCACTGCCATCAGAGAGATCAAGATCCTGAGACAACTCAACCATCGCAGCGTCGTCAACATGAAAGAAATTGTCACTGATAAACAAGACGCTCTTGACTTCAAAAAGGATAAAGGTTTGTTTAAATGCATTTGCATGTTTATACTTAAATATTTATTTTGCATGTGCAGTTTTTTTTAGTAGTGAACACAGTCTCCTCTTAAGAGTTTGTGGCATATTTGTGGCCCTCTCAAATTCCCTGAAACGTCTTCATTTTCTGCCTGCACACACTCATTTTCTAAGCCTACCTCTATGTATTAACATGTATGTATTTTTTGGCATTAGGTGCATTTTACCTGGTGTTTGAGTACATGGACCATGACCTGATGGGGCTGTTGGAATCGGGGCTGGTGTCTTTCTCCCAAGAGCATGTGCAGAGCTTCATGCGTCAGCTGATGGAGGGATTAGATTATTGCCACAAAAAGAACTTTCTACACCGAGACATCAAGTGCTCTAATATCCTGCTAAATAACAGGTACCAGTTTGTGTTTTTAAACATTGCATGATGACGGTCTCTTATTAGTGTCATAGAGATTTACATGTTGTTTGTTCAGCTACACTGCCATTAAATTTTATTTAAGAAATTAATCATTTTATTCTGCAAGGATGCATTAAAGTGACAGTAGACATTTATATATATTCTTAACTAACCTTGTGCTCTCTGAAATAAACGCTTGAGTCAATTCAATTTTTCATACTTTTTTTTTTTGTTTGTTTTTTGTTTAAAGGGGGTCATATGATGCGATTTCAAGTTTTCCTTTCTCTTTGAAGTGTTACAAGCTGATTGTGCATAGATAAGATCCCTGAAGTTGCAAAGACTAAAGTCTCAAAACCAAAGAGATATTCTTTATCAAATTTAAGACTGCCACACCCCCCTAAAACGGCTCGTTCTAACACGCCCCCACATATCTACATCACTATGTGGAAATATTTGCATAATGCGCCCGCGATTATGGTAAGGGGCGTTACATTTCCGACGAGTGCTTGCGGTGTTCGGCCAATCACAATGCACTGGGTCAGCTGGCCAATCAGAGCAGACTGCACTTGTCGGAAGGAGGGACTTTGTAGAAAACGAAGCGTTTGAGAGAGGCGGGGCATAGAGGACCTACAATAATGTACAGTATTTGAAAAATAATGTGTTTTTTTAACATTAAAGCATGTCAACATATTCTGTTACACCAAATACACAAAATAATGATCTTTAAAAAAGCATCATATGACCCCTTTAAATCAGTGATGTTATGTACTGGCATTTAAGTAATACTTGCAAATACCTGCATTTTGCGTTAAAATGATGAAATGTGGCCCTGTTTACAAAATAGTGTTAAATAATATATTATGCAAGATTTAGAGCTTTTGGAAATTGCATTCCATTCGCCCTACTTTTTTTTATGTTTTTTTTTTTTTTTTCTCGTTTATACAGTGGTCAGATAAACCTTGCCGATTTTGGTTTGGCTCGTCTTTATAACTCTGAGGAAAGGTAAGTAAATGTTGGGTTTTTCGATCTTACTGTAGGTTGTGCTAAATAAAAAGATTTTTGTTTGAACTATGGCAAACATGGGACACAAATTTCAGCTTTAAAGTTTCTGTAGATTTCATGTGATTTCAGAAACAGGAAACATGATTGGTATTGAAAAGCTTTGGCGTATAACACTAACATGATGGTCATTCCCAGTCGGCCGTACACTAATAAGGTGATCACACTGTGGTACCGCCCACCTGAGCTGCTACTGGGAGAGGAGAGATACTCACCTGCTATTGATGTCTGGAGTTGCGGGTAAGATGTCCTGTCGGTTTCCCATCTCACTACATTTACACACCAACTGCTGTTCATGTAAAAATGTTGTTTGGGTTTCTTTTTGCTGTTGTGTAAAGGTGTATTTTGGGAGAACTCTTCACTAAGAAACCAATTTTCCAGGCCAACCAAGAGCTTCTACAGCTTGAGCTGATCAGGTACGTTTCTCACAATCTCTGAATGCGCATGTAGTGTTGCTCTAATGCTGAGGGACGGGAAAGGACTTTGTGAAATGCTGTTACACTCCATCTGTTTTGTATTTTGTTTTGGTCAGTCGTTTGTGCGGGAGTCCGTGTCCTGCTGCATGGCCAGATGTAATTAAGCTGCCGTACTTTAATACCATGAGACCCAAGAAACAATACAGACGACGCTTACGGGAGGAATTCGCTTTGTAAGTTCAACCTGATTTTTGAAATGCTTCCATCATTCTCTGACAGATTTTAATCTTTGTTGAAAGAAGTCTCACACTCTGAGACTGCATTTATTTGATCTAATGCAGTAAAAACAGTAATATTGTGAAATATTGTTACAATTTAAAATGACCGTTTTCTATTTTAATATATTTTAGAATGTAATTTATTCCTGTGATGCAAAGCTGAATTTTCAGCATCATTACTCTGAAAACAGTCTCCAGTGTCACATGATCCTTCAGAAATCATTCTAATATGCTGATTTGCTGCTCAACCAACATTTCTTCATTCAAAAATAACATATTTTTATGGAAACCATGATACATTTTATTTTTTTCAGGATGATTTGTTGAATAGAAAGGTTGAAATAACAGCAATTAATTGAAATGAAAATGTTTTGGAACATTTATACATGTCTTCACTGTCACTTTTGATAAATTTAATGCATCTTTCCTGGACAAAAGTATTAACTTCTTTCAAAAACAAACAAACAAAATCTTACTCACCCCAAACCTTTGCATGGTATAATAAAAAAATCATTTAGGTTGTGCGTGATTTTTTTGCCATGGTTATGCTCCTGAATATTAAAAATGTATACCTCTAATGCAGTGTAAGTTGTTTTGGATATGTCTGCTAAATGCATAAATGTATTTATCTTTTTATTAGTGTTTATGGTTTATGGTACTTCCTGTATAATCACAATGTCACTCTCTCTAGTCTGCCCACCTTTGCTCTTGACCTGCTGGACCACATGTTGACGCTGGACCCCTCGAGGCGCTGCACAGCCGAACAGGCCCTGGCGAGCCAGTTTCTGTGTGACGTGGAGCCCAACAAGATGCCGCCACCTGAGTCAGTGCACACATAAACGCATCTTACGTGATTTAAATCGTTTTTATGATGTCAGTGACACTACATTTGTGAAACACTTATTACTCCATCACATTTTGTCATTTAGTTTTAAAATGCAGCTGCAATTAAATGTTGTTAGGCTATAGAATATAATGAGATTTAACTCCGTAATAATGACCAGCTGATTATATGACAGTTTATACTTGTAAATACACATTCGTGATAGGTTTTTTTGTAATTATGTGGCCTTTCTTTTTAGTTTGCCTCATTGGCAAGACTGTCATGAGCTTTGGAGCAAGAAGCGGCGGCGGCAGAGACAAAGCGGAGTGCCTGAGGATTTCCCTGTTGCCAAAGTTCCCCGAAAGGAACCCGCAGGACCTTCAGGAGGGGAGAACAGCCGCCCGCCGCCGAGTCCACCCCCA